GTTCAGCAGAGGGAGAGGAACGCTGTTGGGACGCCTGTGTCCCTGGTAGATGGGGGTGATTAGGGGTGACAAGGTGTCCAATTCCTCCCCTTGTCCCTCTTAGAGTTGGTTGTTCCCCTCCCTTTTCCACCCTCCCATGGTGCCTGGCACAGTCGCCACCCCCTATCAGCGCCGTCCCCGGTACTGGTGGCACGGGGTAGGGACGGTGTTCCGCGCTGGTGTGTGTTTTGGGGGTGTGTGGGAGGGTTGGACTCGGTACTGCAGCCGAAAGGGAGTGGGGGACGGGGACACCCACCTGGATTTTTTGGGGGAGCGGGGGAGTGTGCGACTGTGAACAGTCACCCTGAAGCAGCCAGGGTGGTTGTACCTGGTGCTGGACCGACTGGTTCCAGGATCAGCCTGGACCCAGGAACAGCCAAACTCAAGAACAATCAGATCCAGGAACAGCCGGATCCTTTCTCTGGCCTTGCTGACACCCCCCGCCCCAAAGCTGAGCCTAACACATGGAAGATGACTGTGAGCTTGGCCTACAGCTCTCCAGCTGTACCGGGGTACCCCTGGTCTGGGGAGGTACCCAACCCTGGTGGCTGGGGTACGGTGTAGTTCCCCTTTCGTGGTTAAACACCACAACAGACACATGAGAAGAAGCAGGGTCCAGTTGTCCACTAAAGTGCGACTGTACATATGAGAAACCAGACCCCGGATACAACAGTCTGCGCGTACAGGACCCGACCCAACACTGTGCTCGAACGTACAGCCCCAGCCACAGACTCTCCGCCTGTGCTCACACCTCGCCACAGCTGGTTGCGAGCTACAGTTGGACAAATACAGCATAAAAACTGGATCTAGTTGCACCAACAACTGATCCCAAACCAGCCGGCGGCTACAGCCAGACCGTGCGTTACAGTAACCGATCCCGATGTGCAATACGATTTGATTGTACGTACAAGTTGTGCACTACAGCCTGGCTAGATTAGACTCAGTTGTACACTACAGCCTGACATTAAACTACAGGAATCGCTGCTTGTGACACAACCACCCGCATCCCCGGGCCTGATCCTGCGTCCCCACATCGCCTGTATCAACGCTGGGCTACAAATAACACTGTTACAGGGGATTAACAGGGTGGTTGTTTGCTACACTGGGAGCCAAGCTCCGGTTGTGCGCAACAGCGCGGGGGGATGGAGGGGGAGGGTGTGTGGGTGCAGCAGGGACAGGTTGGAGGAGGACAAGTCAGCGGGACTGTCCGACTGTGTGCTACGGCTGGAGGGGAGAGGGAGATGGGACGACTGTAGGGGAGAAGGGACGGCTGTAGGGGAGATTGGGGGAGGCTTTCCATGTTGTTAACTCAGCCCTCGCTCACTCTGCCCCCCCCCTTAATTAAGAACCATCCTTCTTCCCCCCCCCATAGTTTTCCGCCTGACAACAGGCCAGGCTCTGCCCTCCCTGCCTAGCCCCACCCCCTGACCCCACCCCGCTTAGCTCCACCCCTCGGCAAATAGCCCCACCCCTCTACTCTTAGCCCCGCCCCCCGTGGGGGTCACTTATAGAGGAGATGGACGCGGCTACCATCGCAGTTGCCCCGGCCGAGCTTGTCGGCTTGTTCCGAGACCAGGCAGCGGACGAGGGGGAGGTTGGGCTGGTAGAAGGGGGCCGGGGGGGCCGGGGCGGTGCTCAACCCCGGGGAGAAATGGTTGTCAGCCTCGTGGGAAGGGTTGGACGACCGTCGGCGGGACTGGAGCTGCTGGCGGTCCTGGAGCTGCTGGCGGAGTTCCGATACACGTTCCTCCTTCTGCCGGGTGACAAATTTGGGTGCGGGGGGTTGTTGTGTCAGATACCACCCCAATACCCCTTATCGGTGTTGAGACCCACCCCCTCCCACATCACCCCCGTTGAGGTGTTGGCGCCTCGGAGATGATCTACCCCTCTTGGGACAGGTAGCAACACCTTGAAGCTACAACCTGGAAGCTACACCCCGGAAGCTACACCCCACTTCTGTGGGGTTTCTACCCCCCCAAACCATGTTTTGGGGTTCCCCACCCACCTCGGCGATGATTTTCTCCAGCTCCCGGTTCTCCTTCTCCAACAGTCGGGATTTCTCCTCCTCGTTGTTGTTGGTGGACGAGCCCGTCTTCATGGTGTCCTGCTGCTCCGACTGCCACTCGCCTCGGGTGATGAGGCGTCGCATCTGCAACGGTCCCCGCTTGTCAAAGCTGTCCCCCGCAAAGCAACACCCACACCCGACTGTCCCCTGCGTCCCCTGCTGACTGTCATCGCCAACTCCATGACCCTACTGGAGAAGAAACCTCCGCGGCTGCAGAGGCAACACCTTGACCCTACAAGGGAGGACGTAGGATGACTGTTCCTCTCCACCCCAGAAGAAACACCTCGACCCCAACAGCCCCTTCCCCACCGGCACCTTGGGGACAAAGAGGACGACCAAGGTGATGTAGGAGGAGAAGACGACGGCCAACGAAGCGAAGGCGAAGGCCGCATCCTGTTGGCTGCTGAGGATCATGGTGACGGGCGCCGTGATGAGGCAGAGGACCTGTGGGGAGGAAGGGGAAGATTTTGGGGGGTCACCGTATGGGATATGGGGTGAACAGGGGGGGGGCACAGCCACCCTGGCTTACCGCCACGTTGTAGATGGCCATGCCCACCGCTCGGTGGTCGTTGATCTTCTCCGTGGACACGCTCTTGGTCTCGTACGCCAGGAAGATGCCCAACAGCAGCAGCAACCCCTTGAAGCCGTAAAATATCCCTGGGGGGGGGAACAACCATGGGTGGTCAAACAGGGACCCCCACCTGGCCTGGGATGGGGGGAGCCATGGGTGGT